AATTTAAAAATATGGCTTCAGATTCTTTGGCACTCCTCCCAGGAATCTGAGCAGGCTTGTAACTGCTTCAACCAACAGAGCATGGCAGAGGTTATGCTATGGGACTTCTGAGGTTAGGTAATAAAGGGTTATGCAGTCTTTGGCTTATTTGCTGGAGTGCTTGCTCTTGGAGTCTTTACACCTGAACATACAAGGTTGACATCCTGAGGCTGCCATGCTGTGAAGAAGCCCAAGCCACATGGAGAGACCGTATACAGGTGTCACCATATATAGGTGATATTCTAGTGAAACCCAGCCTTGAAGTCTTCGTCAGTCCAGCACACCAGATACATGAGTGAAGAAGCCTTCTTGGAAGTGGATCCACCAGTCCCAACTGTTCTAGTCCCTGACATCATGCTTTAGAAACAAGCCTTCCCCAGTCTATCCTTTATATTCCTGATCTAGAATTCATGAACATAATTAAGTGGTGGTGGTCTCATACCACTAAATTTGGGGTGGTTTGTTCCATAGTAGATTACCAGAACAGTAAAGGGGAAAGTCAGATAAAAATAGTGAATTACTTTTGGATAGAAAGTAAAGTTTTGAGGGTTGTGTGTGTGTGTGTGTGTGTGTGTATGTGTGTGTTTCCTACTGAAGAGAGTAAATGGTGTATGCAAACATTATTCTGCCAGGCTCATCTAAGAAGCTAGTGTCCATCCACATTAATTCACTAGACTCTAGATACTCATTAGCTTCCCAGAAATGTCATCCCAATGAACCACTTGAGATTTCATGCTTAAAATTCTGGGTTCTTGGTATATTTCCATATTGGTCACCTGGAGGAACTGGCAGTTTTAAACCAGCTAAGGCCAACCTATACTTGAAATTATAAGAAAATATAAATCCCAGGTGAGAGTATCACAGTGAGATATTAAAGTTTTTGATGCTGCCAATTTTCTTCTTTCATTTTTAGCCTGTTTTTAAAAAATGAGAATTGGTGTAACTAGAAATACCAGCCAGTGATCAGCAATTCAGAGTCAGCTGCTTATTAAAAATCTGGATGTTCAAAGAAACCCAATCATAAAGCTCCTCATTCTGTAGCTCAGAGTGGGGAAGAGGTGTGCCCAAGGTCTTAGGCTGGGACTGTGGGCTCCTGACTCCCCATACAATGCTCTTTCTTCTTAATAAATGTTTTTTAGCCTACAGTCTGGTTCAAAGATGAACCTCCCAGGTGCTGTCCCGGGTCCTGTGAACCAGCTGAAATGGTGCACACCATTTTGTTTGTGTGTGCTTTTGTACTCATTTCTGGAGAGAATCCACACTTTCCGTCTAATTCTTATAGAGATCAGTGACCCAGAAAAGCATAAATCCACTGTACTTGATTTAATACTGTCCTTTAAAAATTAACCAGAGTAAGTTAAATCTTGTACTCCCTCGTATCTATACCAGATGCTTCTAGGGAAATTCTTCTGTTGTTTAAGATTAGTGCATAACGGGTGCATCTTTCAGATAATTAGGCATCGTTGGAACACCCAGCAACCAACACATCTTACTGTCTATTTAGAGAAATTCGGCAGGCACTCACACGTTAAAATCAATTTTGTGATTCAAAAGCTACAAACAACACAGGGCTGATTAGGTGTTATTTTTCCTTATAGTCATTGCAGTAGTTAAGGCAGAGAAGACTGGGATCTTTACAGAGAAAGTCTAAAGGTGCAGAGGCGAACTTAACAGAGGTTTCTTTTTCACACACACCCCGCCATCCCCTGTGGGTGTTCAGTGGCCTTTTTATATGGCATTTCAGGAACCTGGGCTCCTTTTATCTTGGAATTCTGCCATCTTCTTAGATCTTGGAGTTCTTTACTTTAAGCCAGCAGACAGGAAAAAAGGGAGAATTGAGGACAGAGTACGAAGTTTTTATGAAAGTTGAGTTCTTCATTTCTGCCCATATCCCACTGGCCAGATAAAAGTCACATGGCACCACCTGATACAAGGGCAGTGGTGGTGGTGCCTCCTAACAACACTCTACATTAAAGAAGAGGAGCACAAATCTTGGTCAGGCAACTGCTCCTGTCTGCCACAATCAAAGTGAGCATTTTAAGGATCCTATATCTCAGAAATGGATGAAGTGTCTGAGATGGAACTTTCAGACAGTCCATGATATCTATATGTGGATTACGATCTTCACTTACCTGACACCTTAGGAATTAAGGTGATCCTAAGTAACTGTGAAGTCAGGATTGATTGAAATATAGTGTAGTTAAGATAGGAAAATTGCAATTTTCAGATAATTGGAGATTTTATTTTATTTTACTTTTTAAAGAGTGACACAGAGTCTAAGGGCCCAATCTGGATTTTGAGGTGGTTTATACTATAATGGAACTTGTATAATTATAGCCAAGAAAACTCTCTTTCCATTTTTGCAAAACTATTGCTACAAGTTTAGCTTTGTTATTGCATGTTTGCCCTTAAAAATGTTTTTTGCTTGGCAGAAATTATAATAGCGCATGTCTTTACCCTATGGTTTTTATTTTCTATTTGTGTTACTTAGTTGCTTCCTAATTATTTTTGCTTGTTTTATGGAAGCTTAACCTCTCTCCTCAAATTATTATTCTGGAACTGGGTTTGGCTATGGTATGAAATTACCATGAATTCGATTCTCAGCTTTTTTCATTAAGATGCTTTTGATGCCACGTGGTATCAGAATTGGTGACATGTGAAATGTATTTCTTCTACCACCTCCCGTGGAGCAACTCTGACAAGTTACTTACTTTCCATTTTTTTATCTATGAAATTTTATTGGTCCAGTGAACTCCAACAATCTTGGAAGTATGTTGAAGGCTAAGTAGCTTTCTTTGGAGGTTGAAGTCCTTATGTGATTGACCTGGTGGTGTGCTGGAACTGGATTGTACTGGTCGATGAAAGTAAAAATTGGAAACTTGTTCTAACAGCTAATGTTACAAATTAAATATACAAACTCATGATTAAAGACATTGTATTAAAACTCATGATTTACTAATTTTTTTGGTTACATTTTACTATTGATGTTTTTGAGGTTATTACATTTATTTTGTCCATATAATAGAAATACTATGCAATGGGGTGCTATTGGGCCTTTCTTCCCAACTCTGCATTCAGTGATACCACTTAGGTAGCTTGAAGTTGGCCATGGTAGGTGCTGGTTGTTAAATGTTTACCAGTAGCCCACTGGACTCACCACACAGGTTAGATTCTTCATTGGGTAGTGTTGAGGCTTGAAAGAGACATGTTGTGTCAGGGACATTGTAGATGCTCAATAAAGGGAAACTGCTTTTAAGGTCATTCCTTCAGAAAATCTCTGCCATTTCCATGGAGCCTAAAAATGACCAGTGTTCCTGGATTATTTTAGTCCAGGACCTCCAAAAGGACAGAAGATCTCCAAACGGACGGAAGTTTATAAAATGGGTTCAGAAATACTTGACTCCATCTCTTCCAAGGATATGTTAGGGAAAAAATATTTTAAGTGATGTGAGACAACTTTGAATAATTAGGAAGCACTAATTCAAATTCTTAAATTGGAGATTGAGAAGTAGTTTTGCACAGGTTTGCTGGTTTGTGCCGGTGATGACTTTGGGAAGAAAATATGCTATATTCCGGAGGCGTGGTGGTGATTCTCCAGTGTTGGTCCCTAGACAGTGGTCCATGACCAAGTCTTCTTGGGCCGCTGGCAAATAAGAACAATGTTAATAGAATATGGGCAAAAGATTGTTTGTTTTATTATCCTGAGAAGAATTATCTTTTACTGTGAGACTCTGTTTTTCTGGCAATATTTGCATTAATATGTTCTGTCTTTATGAAATGGTGATGGTAGTAGATGGTAGTGGTGGAATGAGAGTTAATTTTAATACCTTTACTTGAAAAGAGCTAGAAGTCATGTTGGTTCTCTTCCCTAAAGCCCTAGGTGGTTTTTTTGTTTGTTTGTTTTTTTGTTTTTAATGTTTGTGGCCCAGTGGAATGTAAAGGGCTAGAACAACTTCATGTTGAATTTAAATGATTTTTCTGCAAGCAAATAAGTCTTATAGAATTATTCCATAGGTGACTTGTATCAGCAGCATGGACGTATGTGAGCACTTTCGTTTACTCCCCTAATTGGCTACTTTCATAAAACTGTTGCTAATTATTATTAAGAAAATCAAAGCATAAACAAAAAAAAATATTATCTTTATCTCTTCTTCTGCCAAGGAAACTTTCAAAGTCTTGACAGAACAGTTCTTTGGAGAAGAGGCATGCAAAAAGTGAGCCTTCCAACTTAAAATTGTGATTATGTTTTTTATGTTTTACCTAAAGTTATATTTGTCACATTCCAGAAGTTCTTGGGTCTGCATCTGGCTTTAACCATTTTTGTCTCCTTGCTAACACTGTTGATATTAATGCCAATTTTAATTTCTTGGCATCACGAGTGCATAAACATATCACACACAGATGTGATTTTGAATAAGGACCGAAACTGTAAATTAGGAAGCAAGATATTAACAGGGTTTCATCACATCAATTCACTCCAAAAAGTGACACAGTGGTACTGAAAAGGTCTTAAATTGCTCATTTCAAACCTACCTCAGTAGCAAAATGCCAAGCGTGCAGTGGATTTGCAACCACGTTAGTCATTTTCTTTCCTCCGTTTCCATGCTGTGTTTGTATTGGGAGCACAGAGTAATGTAATTTAGTAAATTATGATTTGATGGCTGGGCAACAACCCCAGTGTTGAACAGTATTTGGACTATGATTACTTGCTGGCTTTGTCACAGTTGACATTAATTATTGATGGTAGTTTCAGAAATAGCGCATGTGCCAGGAGCTTTTCACCGGAACGCAGGCTCCAGGCAGGAGGGACGCTAACGAGGGTGGGGGAAGAGTCACCTGTAGCTTGTTTATGTCGGAGCACAGCGAGCCTGCACCCAGTGGGCTGTGTGGTACCTGTGTAAAGGTCATGGTGTAACGGAAGGATGAACCGTCAGGCTTATTTCTATCGTGTTCCTCCCCAGGAATTGCACCGAAGGAGCCAACTTCAGCCGGAGCCAGCAAAGACGAAGGCTCTCCAGACTGTCATTGAAATGAAGGTAGGAGCTGTTCACATTTGTCAAAAACAGCTGTGCCTCCGGAGTTTGTTCTAACTTGACGGTGCCTACACTTGAAATGAACCTTGTGTTTCTCTCTAGGCACCCTGGTGGGTGCTTTCCTTCTGGATTTTTTTGCCTTCTTGGGTACATTTAATTTATTGGCCCTTTAATTAGGATGTCTATTCTGGGCAAAAGAATAAAGGGCTCAAGTATCCCTTGGCTGAAAGGAGCTGGGTTCATTTCCAGAGCATGGCCAATGCTTTCAACCCTAGGGGAGGTTTTGTGTGTGCTTTAAAAGGAAATTTCTAAAGCTAGAATAATTTTTTTCCCCTTTTCATTCACATTACGATGAAAAGACACTTTAAAAAAACTAAGACTTGGCAAAGAGAAGTTGCCTTATATGCAATGAAGTCGTTAAATAATTAAAATTATGCTATCAGTAAAATGTACTTTTCAAAGAATAATACTTTCCTAGGACTCCAGTATTTTCTCCTAACCAAGTTTGGAAGTAATAATAACTTATTAAATACTCATAAGGTATCTTAGTTAGCTGTGGAAGCATAGAGATATGTTATTTAAAAGAACCAGAGATCCTCCTGTATAGATTTAGGGCATTTAAAGAACAATGAAATAAATGATGATGGCTAAGCCATGATGTATGATTAAGAAATAGATCTAAATGAAACCCAATTGCTTTGTCAGTATCTAGAAATGTAAATAAAGGTTTTTTTACTTTCAGTGTTTACCAGAAGGAAGCAAATACTGTTTATCTAAGAGTAAATAATTCTTGATTTAAATTGTTTCATGAAGAAAAAAAAATTTATCACAATGATGTTTGCAATCTGGTATTCCAGAGTTTAACACTTGAGAGTTTGCTGATCACCATTAGCCTACAAGAGAATTCTGTAGCTTGCTGATAGGATTGGATAATGATTTTTCTGTCTTTTTTATAGCACATGATTTTGAACTGTCTGCCAAAAAATTCCTAAATCCTGGGGATAAAGAAACTAACACCAGCCATTAAATATTTGGCATGTACAATTCTGACTTGGGATTTTTTTTTTTTTTTTGTCAATGACAATGTTTTCATTCAGTGAATTTTTGTGGAAATAATGTGGAGCATTTGCTTTTAAAACTCTGTGTCCCCAAATGAGGTTATATGAGTTGAGGCACTCATAATGCATTTGCAGCAAATTGGTTTGAAAAATATCGTCAAAGGAACCAAACGCCAATGAGACTGAATAATCCTTGCTAATCTTGCCTCATCAATTCGTTTTGAATTTATGTAATTTGAACTTGTTTTGAAAAGAAACTTATCATTCTACACTTGTGGGGGAGTGTTTCATAACAGATTTCTTCCTTACTTTATACTGGAACCGAACTTGAAACTTGGTTAGGGTTCTTTCTTTCTTTTCTTTCTTCCTTTCTTTCTTAAGAAAAGAAAAAAGACAAAATATTTTATTTTGTTTTACTTTTTTGCAGAGTCAGTCTTTCTTCCACCCACCTCCACGCCTACCACCCCAGTCTCTGGCAGTTACTAATGGGAAAGAGGATATATATAAAATCTATTTCTAAACTATCCTTTCTTTTAAAAAAAAGAGTAAGAGTGAATTCCAGGAATCTTTGGAGAAACCATGAATGACATCTCTTCCAGAGCAGTGGGCATATTTCATGTAAAGGTCTCTATTCAAAGACAATTAATAGCTTTTGATGACTTTTAGAAGTAAAAAATCTGTTTACTTATGACTGTGTCAAGTATCATATGTTTTATTAGAAAACAAAAAAATAAATATACTCATTTAGGCTATCTATATGGGAAGGCATGAAACATGACTTTTAGGGCAGGTTTCACACCCATATATTATCAGTAAATTGAGTCTGGAGTTTTTCTTTTATGGATGCCAATATGTTGATTTATAGAACATATTTTTAGGACAAATGATGATCAATATACTTGTCAGGGAATTGAGCCTGGAGTTTTTCTATTGTTTTTTGGATGTGTATTAATTTACAAACCACTGCCTTCTGTTTTGTCAGTGGAGAATTCTGGGTCCCATTAGCATCTATACTCAGCATGTAAAAATTGAGTTATGGAGGCAGATGGTAGAGGGTCATCTTTTCAGCTGTGTGTGTAGCTTGTGACAGAGGCTATGATCTCCTTCAATTTTATACATTACATCCCTGCGAATTTGGAAGGAATATTAGAAACCCGTATTTAACAAGCTTTAGGGTTGACTATCAAATACAACTGATCCTTAAACCTGGTGGGTTGAACTTAAGACATCTTTGTGTTTTAACTTAAACACCTTTGGGTAAACATTGGTGTCATCTGGTACCTTGGCAAAATCTAAAGTTGAAAGGAACTTTTCTAGAGAAAATTTGACCTGTAGTTTCAGGGAGATGACATGAATTAAGGGCTTATAAATTACCTCTACTAATCCCTTGCTTCTGAGAGAAACTGAGGGTGAACTTCTGACCCCTCATCTTCTCTGCACATAAACTTTGTATCAACTTGAGAAAGTTGTTTATTGTGAAAATCTGTGAAATCTTGGCCTAATACAAGCAGTTTAAGAAACTTGGTCTGGTAGTTTCAGTAGATCTCTACATGCACCTCTGGGCTTGTACATTGTGAAAATATGTCTCTGTGGGCAAGCACTGGGGAGGGCCATCTGCCAGCATCAAAGTGGGAGTAATTCTCTTGCAGCCATCACATCTATTGCAGCCATTTGAGCCAGGGGGATTAAGGTCATCTGAATGAAAATGAAAGGAAGCAAAGTGAATGAAGTTATTTGTGATTTATCTTCTTGCAGGAGGCTCCAAGTTTTAATTTTCATCCCTGTTTGCTCTAGCAGGTATGTTCCAGGTTTGCACTAGAACATTGTGTGTATTTCTCACAGAAATTAGTTTTCTTGTAGATGGTGCAATGCTCCTCCTTTTCTTGCTTTTGTGTCTAAAGATTCTTTACTAAGCTCTTCTTTTCCACTTTTATGGAGAACTGTCAATAAAAATGGTAGTTAAAAAGCTTTTTCCCTCTTTTTTTTTAATGTTAATTCCCTTGAAAGAAAGTTTTAACCTACTTTTATTATAAATTTGACATGACATAAAGATGATGTCTAAAAATTTCACTTTCTTAGGTTCATTCATAAAGTTGTACCCAGTTTCTTTTTAAGAAAATGAATTACAATAACAGTACTTGTCAGATAATCTTAAAATTGTTTTCTTTGCTAGTTAAATCTTCCAAGTGAATGAAAATCTAATTCAAAATGGCTAAAGCCAAAAGGAAATTTATTGGCTCACTCAGCTGGAGAAAAACAGGGTATTGCTTCAGGCACAGCTTGATCCAGGGGATCAAAAGATGTTAATGATCCGATTTTCTCTCATTCCATTCTATAGTTTGGTTTCCTTCATGTAAACTCTAATTTCAGACAGCCCCTGTCTGCCCATCTGAGCAAGATGGCTATAACAGCTCTAATAATCACAAAAGGAAGGGATAGGAAGAAAGTTGTGTTTTAAGAAAATGCAAAAAAGAAACCAACCCCAGAATAATGATAATTACTGGGATGGGGTGTAAACTTCACTCTAAACAGCCCAGGCTAAAAAGGAAATACACAAAGTTTCCTAGTTCTCATTTGCTTAATAAATTAAATGGCACTCATTCATCAAGAAAAACAAACTTTATGCTAGCACTAACTTCAGCAGAATTTATCAAGTGGGACCTAAGTGAATGCCATAAGGGATTTAGTAAAAGTTGCAGAAAATGTATTTGATTTGATGAACTTGTTATCAAAAGTGGATTAAGAAGCTAGGAGCATAATGTCACTAGGTGACAGTATTTCTGTGGTAACTAAAGTGAAGATTGTAGGTGTTTAGCTTTCTAGTCACATGACCAGCCAGGCGCTTGTGTGTCATGAGTGGTTCTTCTTGAGTAGCATTTGTTCCCACCAGGCTTTTCTATGGGAAATGAGCATTGAGCAATTCAACATTGAGCTTGACTAAGTTGCTGATTTGTAGTTGTGCTGTTTATCAAAGAATATGACTTTGCATTCAGGTGCTAAACTCCAGTGGTGGGGTTGATCTTTTGTTATTAAAACTAAAGACCAAGCCTTGTCTTCCTGCTCAGGCAGATGACTGCTGTTCTTCTGCATGGCGGAGCTGAGCTGCAGTTGGGTTCAGTTTCTCTTAAAAGATATGCTGATATTTGGTCAAATTCAGCCAATTCAGTTCCACTAAGCATGGAAGGGATGCACTGGAACATGGAGAAGGTAAGAGCCACAGTGGCAACTTTTCCCAAGGTCACACATCTAGGAAAGGAGGGATTTCAAGTTCAAACCTAGGCCTTTGAATGCATCCCAATTCCCAGTACGAACTTAATTCAAGTACTGGGATCTAGTCAAGAATACCACTTTGTGGCTGAAATGTTTTCTTTGGCTCTAAAGCCTCCCTATATTTATTTCTTCCATTTTTTGAACTCTTACCTGTTTGAGTCTAAATACTGCACTCTACTTAGAGTGATTTCTTCTTTTAGGATGAGATGTTCATAGGAAATTTGTTTCAAGCCTAGTTTTTCTAGCCAAGCCATTATGATGGCTTTTAGGCCTTAAAACTATGCCCCACTCTGTTTGTGGCTGTTAAAAAGAATAAGAGCAATAACAATAAAAATACCACCTTGCACCATTGGTGACAACCCACAGCCTGAATACCACTAACCAGGCATGGGAAGTCAGATGCAGGGCACCTGACATATAATAACCTGTGAGTAGGCATAATTAGCTCCATTTCACAGATGAATAAGTTGTGTTTTAGGGAGGATAAGCAGCCTGCTAAGGTCCTACATCTAGGCAGTTGGCAACTGAGATCTGAATACAGGTTTTTCCTCCAGAGTTCCTATACTTTGTATTCCTTCAGTCTGCTTTTACTGAAGACAGCCCATAGGTTCAACTGGTTTTCTTTCAAAACTTTTTATTTTGGAAATTATGCACTGGAGTTTGTATCATAGAATA